TATCGGATCATTATTTAGTTATAGCTACAGTTAGAGTAAGAGGTAGATGGGAAAAGAGGAAGGTGGCAACAACAAGTAAGAGGGAGGTGAAAGTGTATAAACTAAGGGAGGAGGAAGTTCGGGTGAGATATAAGCGACTATTGGCAGAAAGGTGAGCTAGTGCAAAGATGAGTAGTGGGGGGGTTGAAGAGGGATGGAATAGTTTTAAAAATGCAGTATTAGAATGTGGGGCAGAAGTTTGTGGTTATAGGAGGGTGGGGGCAGGAGGAAAGAGGAGTGATTGGTGGAATGATAAAGTAAGGGGTGTGATAAAACAGAAAAAGGTAGCTTATGAGAGATTTTTACAAAGCAGAAGTGTTATAAGAAGAGCAGAGTATATGGAGAGTAAAAGAAAGGTGAAGAGAGTGGTGAGAGAGTGCAAAAGGAGAGCAGAGTGGGAGAGGCACTGTCAAGAAATTTTAATGAAAATAAGAAAAAATTTTGGAGTGAGTTAAACAAGTTAAGAAAGCCTAGGGAAAGTATGGATTTGTCAGTTAAAAACAGTAGGGGAGTTAGTAGATGGGGAGAGGGAGGTATTAGGTAGATGGCGAGAATACAGTGGACCCCCGCATAATGATGGCATCACATAGCGATTATTTCGCATACCGCTTACTTTAATTGCAAAAATTTTGCCTCACATACCGCTTAAAAACCCGCTTACCGATTTTCGTCCGAGACGCGTCCAATGTGCGGCCTGAGCCACGCTCACATGTTCCGCCGGTGGCATTGTTTACCAGCCAGCCTCCGCGGTAACATCCAAGCATACAATCGGAATATTTCGTATTATTACAGTGTTTTCGGTGCTTTTTCTGGAAAATAAGTGACCATGGGCCCCAAGAAAGCTTCTAGTGCGAACCCTACAGCAATAAGGGTGAGAATTACAATAGAGATGAAGAAAAAGATCATTGATAAGTATGAAAGTGGAGTGCATGTCTCCGAGCTGGCCAGGTTGTATAATAAACCCCAATCAACCATCGCTACTATTGGTGGTAACCGCTGCTGCTGCTGCTGCTGCACTGTCAGCTGCTGCTGCTGCTGCACTGTCAGCTGCTGCTGCTGCTGCTGCTGCTGTAGCACCGTTGTTGGTGTGGCTTATTGAGAATACCAAGAAACAATTAACCCCAGAGGATTTGCCACCCAGGATAACCCAAAAAAGTCAGTGTCATCGAAGACTGTCTAACTTATTTCCATTGGGGTCCTTAATCTTGTCTCCCAGGATGCATCCCACGCAAGTCGACTAACACCCAGGTGAACAGGGAAAAATGCCTGGAACTAGTGCTCATATTGGTGAATTTAAAGCCAGCAAAGGTTGGTTTGAGAGATTTAAGAATCGTAGTGGCATACACAGTGTGATAAGGCCTGTTCTGGAAGAAAATGCCAAACAGGACCTACAGTACTCAGAGGAAAAGGCACTCCCAGGACACAGTGTCTCATCAGTCATTGCTGCATCTTCAATAAAGGTAAGTGTCATTTATTCTTCATTTAGTAGACTAGTACATGCACAATATATACTGTGCATGTACTACTCTACTATTGTGCATGTATCCTTCTCTTTGTGTGTGGGAAAATGTATATTTCATGTGGTAAAATTTTTTTTTTCATACTTTTGGGTGTCTTGCACGGATTAATTTTATTTCCATTATTTCTTATGGGGAAAATTCATTCACATAACGATTATTTCGCATAACAATTACCCCTCTTGCACGGATTAAAATCGTTAACCGGGGGTCCACTGTATTTTGAGGAACTTTTAATGTTGAGGAAGAAAGGGAGGCGGTAATTTCATGCACTGGCCAGTTAGGTATACCATCTTTTAGGAGTGAAGAAGAGCAGAATGTAAGTGTGGGGGAGGTACGTGAGGCATTACGAAGAATGAAAGCAGCTGTAACTGATGGGATCATGACAGAAATGTTAAAAGCAGGGGGGATATAGTGTTGGAGTGGTTGGTACTTTTGTTTAATAAATGTATGAAAGAGGGGAAGGTACCTAGGGATTGGCGGAGAGCATGTATAGTCCCTTTATATAAAGGGAAAGGGGACAAAAGAGATTGTAAAAATTATAGAGGAAATAAGTTTACTGAGTATACCAGGAAAAGTATACGGTAGGGTTATAATTGAAAGAATTAGAGGTAAGACAGAATGTAGGATTGCGGATGAGCAGGGAGGTTTCAGAGTGGGTAGGGGATGTGTAGATCAAGTGTTTACATTGAAGCATATATGTGAACAGTATTTAGATAAAGGTAGGGCAGTTTTTATTGCATTTATGGATTTAGAAAAGGCATATGATAGTGGATAGAGGAGCAATGTGGCAGATGTTGCAAGTATATGGAATAGGTGGTAAGTTACTAAATGCTGTAAAGAGTTTTTATGAGGATAGTGAGGCTCAGGTTAGGGTGTGTAGAAGAGAGGGAGACTTCTTCCCGGTAAAAGTAGGTCTTAGACAGGGATGTGTAATGTCACCATGGTTGTTTAATATATTTATAGATGGGGTTGTAAAAGAAGTAAATGCTAGGGTGTTCGGGAGAGGGGTGGGATTAAATTATGGGGAATCACATGCAAAATGGGAATTGACACAGTTACTTTTTGCTGATGATACTGTGCTTATGGGAGATTCTAAAGAAAAATTGCAAAGGTTAGTGGATGAGTTTGGGAATGCGTGTAAAGGTAGAAAGTTGAAAGTGAACATAGAAAAGAGTAAGGTGATGAGGGTATCAAATGATTTAGATAAAAATTGGATATCAAATTGGGGAGGAGGAATATGGAAGAAGTAAATGTTTTCAGATACTTGGGAGTTGACGTGTCGGTGGATGGATTTATGAAGGATGAGGTTTATCATAGAATTGACGAGGGAAAAAAGGTGAGTGGTGCGTTGGGGTATATGTGCAGTCAAAAAACGTTATTTATGGAGGCAAAGAAGGGAATGTATGAAAGTATAGTAGTACCAACACTCTTATATGGATGTGAAGCTTGGGTGGTAAATGCAACAGCGAGGAGACGGTTGGAGGCAGTGGAGATGTCCTGTCTAAGGGCAATGTGTGGTGTAAATATTATGCAAAAAATTCGGAGTGTGGAAATTAGGAAAAGGTGTGGAGTTAATAAAAGCATTAGTCAGAGGGCAGAAGAGGGGTTGTTGAGGTGGTTTGGTCATTTAGAGAGAATGGATCAAAGCAGAATGACATGGAAAGCATATAAATCTATAGGGGAAGGAAGGAGGGGTAGGGGTCGTCTTCAAAAGGGTTGGAGAGAGGGGGTAAAGGAGGTTTTGTGGGCGAGGGGCTTGGACTTCCAGCAAGTGTGTGTGAGCGTGTTAGATAGGAGTGAATGGAGACGAATGGTACTTGGGACCTGACGATCTGTTGGAGTGTGAGCAGGGTAATATTTAGTGAAGGGATTCAGGGAAACCGGTTATTTTCATATAGTCGGACTTGAGTCCTGGAAATGGGAAGTACAATGCCTGCACTTTAAAGGAGGGGTTTGGGATATTGGCAGTTTGGAGGGATATGTTGTGTATCTTTATATGTACATGCTTCTAAACTGTTGTATTCTGAGCACCTCTGCAAAAACAGTGATAATTTGTGAGTGTGGTGAAAGTGTTGAATGATGATGAAAGTATTTTCTTTTTGGGGATTTTCTTACTTTTTTGGGTCACCCTGCCTCGGTGGGAGACGGCCGACTTGTTGGAAAAAAAAAAAAAGCCTATTAAGTATAATAGGTAAAGTGTGTGGTAGAATTATTGTTGAAAGGGTTACACGTTAAGACAGAGTAGGATTGCAGAGGAACAGTGAAGATTTAAGAAGGGTAGATAGTGTTTACATTAGAACATTTATGTAAAAAGTATTTACTTAAGTGTAAACAGCTGTTTCCTGCACTTATGGATTTAGAGAAGACATATGGATAGGGGACCCATGTAGCAGACACGCATGTTGCAAATGGTTAGTGTATTAGTTTAAAAAGACATGTGAGCAAACACTTGGACATATTAGAAAGTATTTCAGTCCTGGGACCTTGATCACTTTCAGAAGTGATCAAGGTCCCAGGACCAAAATGTTTTCTAATATGTCCTACTGTTTGTTTGTCTCTCTCTAAACCAATTTATCAGTATCTGTTACCAAAGTTTATACAAGGTTAGCACATGTAGGAGGGAGGGGGCTATTTCCATGAGAGTAAGACAGCAATGTGATATCACCATGATTGTTTAATGTATAGATTGAGTTATAAAAGCAGTGACTGCTAGGTTGTTAAGGAGAGGTGTTGGATTAAAAGATGTGGAAAAAGGACACTTGTGCAGCTTGGGACATTAATTAAAGGAAATGTTTCAAACACAAGTGGCTTCATCGATCCTAGGACTTACATAGCCACTTTCCCCTTGTGGCAGAATGTTTCTTTTAATAAATGTCCTGAGCTGTGTACATGTGTCTTTTTCCACATCATCTCTGTCATCCTATCCCTTGCCCAAGCTACTCACTGCATTGTGTGTGTGTATTTTGCTTAAGTTTTAAGCTCACATTGGTAAAAAATAATCAAGAGCTGGAGATTTCATATTTATAATATACAACATTCATGACTGACTGATTGTTTTGTGTCCAGCATTGATGAATGAAAGCTCACCTCAGATTTTACTACCATCCTCCCTTTCCACTATATAACAGATTTGATGTGGGAAATGGAGGTAAGAGAATAGGAGGAGGAAGAGAACTTGTCTTAACACTGCATATTTTGCAATTTGTTAAAATATAAATGAACTCAGAATTAGTCAATTGTAATGTTCCAGCAAAATCAGTTAGTAACTGTTATTTCCAGATGTGTCTTTCAAAAAAGTTATTTTAGCCAGATTGGCTTCGTAAAACAAAAATACATTGACTTTATTGCAAAACAAAGTGGTTATAAGCAGATGTAAGAACTTAGGTTTTGTGTGTCCTAGAGTGGTTTTAAGTAACTTGTATTGGAAACAATGAGATGATGTAACTTTTCCAATTATTTTATTATATCTTTTACTTCCATCCACAAGCTTTACATATCTGCAAGGTAGATGATAAGAATGTAAGACCATCCTAAATACAGCAGTATTGTAAATACATTAAGGGGGAAAGTGATGGAGAATGATTTGTAAATGAATGACACTATATTTATCTTGATACAGCCAATGTAATTTAACATATTTTAGTATTGCTAATATTTAGTATATTGTATAGTCAATTTTATTACTACCAGCCATCACTTTTTTCTCCTTATAATATATGATGAATACAGAGATGATGAAGCTCCAGTGAAGCCTACTGCCATATTAAACAGGATAAAAAGAACATTTAGGAATGGAATCTTGACCTCATAATCCATGCTTCCATCATATACATATATATATCTATATATTTATATATGTATGCAAAAGGCATGATGCACACTTCATACCCCATTACTGTACAAAGTGCTATTAAACAACATTCAGTCACACTCGCACATAACACTACCATTTGCTTCTCTATATGGGACAGTTACATTGTTTCAACTGTAAACTTCCTTCTACATATATGGTGCAATGATGATATACTGTGTAAGCCAAACTTATAACATTGGTATTAATAAAATAAATTAAAAATAAAGTTTTACAGACTACTGAAAATCTTTTTTTTTTGGACTATACATAATGAAAATAGGCACTTTTTCACAATCTAAATGGACAATACTATCAGTTTTTTCTTTAAGCAAAATAGGAAACTCTGCCCTCATTATGTTATGTTCACAACCTATTTGTTTATTCACTTCCATATAAATGTATGGATTAAGAAAAATAAATCACAAGTAAACTGAAAATCAGCATATTACCACAAACTTTCAAAGGAAGATACAAAAGGTCACTTGTATAAAAATAACAAACATTCACACAATGCTGGCAATGTTTTTTGCAAGATTTGACACTTGGCGCTTGTCACAGCACATTAGCAAATAAATTGACACGCTCATTCACTGTCCAGACTATGGATTACCATCACCTGCACAGTTATGCACTTAAAACTTTTCTCATGCACAAACCTTGAGATGAATGACATACACAAGTAGTCAATCTACATGTTACTGATCAAAACACAATCTTCCTTACCCTTACTTCAGTCAATTATCATTACCAGATTCTAGCAATGTTTGTGCAGAATGTGTGAGATTTATATAAAAAAAGTGTGAATAAGACTAAAAAATAATATATGAATTCTCAAGAATGAGATATACATAAAACTTTTTCACAACAGCATTATTAGTGAGATGACCAGTGAGCATAAAGCTTAATGCAAGATCTTCATGAGACACCCCCCCCCCTTTTTTTTTTAATAAATAAAAAAAAAAAAGGTCTCATTGCACCACTGATCAAGGATCAGCCTCACAAGGCTCATCACATTCTAAGTGGAAAGAAATACTAGCAATGCTTAATTGTGATTCAAAAGCTGACAAGAGGCACATTTACATCTTAATTGCAACACTTACATCAATGCCTGTTGGCTATATAGAAATGTTTACTTTTTCTCCTTGATAGGAACACTTTCTTAACTATACAATTCTGCAACAATACTTCTAAATTGAGGGACACATTCACTGGAGATTCTATGACGATGAGATTCCAAATTTTCACTTCAGTATTTGTGTCAGATAATGACTGGTAACTTAAAAGTAACCAACAGTGGTGAGCTTGGGTTCAGATGGCCCACTACAGCTCTTGAGTCCTCTCTCATACGTGCTGAGCCACCAACTCTCACTTCAGTTATCCCAAATGCAGGGATACATCCACTCAGATGTGGAGAATTGTTTTGCTGATTCACTATATTAATGTCCTTTGCAAATAGTACATTGATTCCTTTGCCTTCCCTAGTCTAAAGTAATAAGAGGAAGTATCATTTCTGTGGCCATTTTGGCACAAATAATATAAAGACACTGTATTAACATTTGATTCACAGTTCATACAACTATTCCAAACTTAATGTTTAATACTTGAATTCACAGATACAAAGGTGTCTGACCTTCATTGAAAAGCCCATAAGTAAGACCACTGAATTAGAAATTCTGAGGTAAATCATCACTAAAGGGCTCTGCTATATAGACTTGAAAGTGTCTTGTATCAGAAAATTTCATTCGCCAACCATTAACTGTTTCATATCACTATATAAATAATTTCAATAAAAAGTTTTAAATAATCATTACTACATTCAATTTTTTTATGATCTAATAGTTCTCTGATTTGCTACTGAATGTTATAAATATGTGACACCAACATTCTGCAATATATTTGTGTGTCTATTATCATTCTTAACACTACTGCTGACCCTTCTTTTTGTGAATTTGTTGTGGTACCAGTTAACCAAGATCACGTATACACACCAAAACAAATTTTAGTATCTAGGTCAGTTACTACAAACCCTGAAATTACAGCATACTACAGATATACAAATCTGAAAAATATTGACTGAACAAAAGGTGTTGACAGGTACAGTGGCTCTAGGTGAAGAATGCCACGCTATAAAGGTATCTAGACAAACGTGGCCACGGCAGAGGGTGATTTGTCTTCAGGGGCTGGCTTCCTTTTACCAGCGGCTCCTCCATACTGTCCAATGAACGACCCATCTTCTGTGAACCTTCCTGAGATATAGATAATGTTCATCAGCAGTGTTAAAGGTAAAACTAATTTTTAAGGTTAGAAACACTTTCATGATGTAGCTAATCACTGGCACTTAAATTACTGAATACATATCATTTAAAAGATAATGAAGTGACAACCTCCATGGTGCTCAGTAGGCAAGTGACAATCATACATTATGGCATACACCAAAAATTAACTAAATTCCATTTAAATTTCTTATTTTGATTATAGAGTAATAGCCATTAGACAGCAACAGCTAGTTACATAAAAAAAAAATTCACACTATATTTTTAATTCTGCCTTTTTTCTCTACAAACTACCCATCTAAAGTACTTTGATTTTTAACTCTTGCCAAGCAATAATAGTGTGAACAAGTAACCAATGTCCTTGTTTGCAGATTATGTGAAGTTAATGAAAAGAATTCAATCAGATGAGAACCAGGCAGAACTACAAAGGGATCTGGACAGGCTGCAGGGCTAGTCCAGAAACTGGCTCCTAGAGTTCAACCCCACCAAGTGCAAAGTCATGAAGATTGGGGAAGGGCAAAGAAGACTGCAGACGTAGTACAATCTAGGAGGTCAGAGACTACAAACCTCACTCAAGAAAAAGGAGCTTGGGGAGAGTATAACACCAGGCATATCTCCTGAGGGGCACATCAACCAAATAACTACTGCAGCATATGGACATCTAGCAAACCTAAGAATAGTATTCCGATATCTCAATAAGGAATTGTTCAGGACCCAGTACATCAGGCCTATGTTGGAGTATGAAGCGCCAGTTTGCAACCCACACCTAGCCAACCACATAAGGAAATTAGAGAAAGTGCAAAGGTTTGCAAGACTAGTCCCAGAGCTAAGGGGCATGTTCTACAAGAAGAGGTTAAAGGAAATTGACCTGACGACACTGGAAGACAGGAGGGATATAACAACATATAAAACTTTTTTTTAACCCGTGAAACGGTCCAACTTATATATATGTTTTTACCGCTAGTGCCCCAGACGTATACGTATATATGTTTTATTTGTCAAACATTCAACATTGCCACGATAAGCCTGAGTCACCTAGACATTAGAGAATGGGTGTGTGCACTCACTGTGCGCCATATTAAAATAATTGGGGATGCCTGGGTACCATATGCTCTTTTTTCCTATTAAAAAAAAAAAAAAAAAAAAATCTCAAAAAATTTGGGGCACTACAGTAGAGAACATATATATACGTTTGGACCATTTACGGGTTAAAAACAATGAAAAAAGTCCCTAATTCCTCTCGGTTTTCAAAAAAGGTCACCCCTAAATAAAAACTATGAATCAACCATATATGTATCTGCATTACAACTCATAAGCACCAACTCAGGAAAGTACTAATTCAAATTAATGGAAAATATTAATCACCATATATTTATATTACTAATCATAAGTAGCAACTCAGAAAATTACTAATTGTCAACTCTATATACTGGCATCTACTATTATCATCATTTTCTCATTGTATTTCACAGAGGAGTGTCTGACAACATATTTACAGGTATAGCCTAACAGTGTGGATTTTAATGTCAATATTTGACATTCATGTCATTGTAAACTTTTCCAGTTTCTAGAACTGTTAAGAAATTTCTGAAACGGTATAGAAGTTTGTAGAACAATCCATATCCTGGTATATATAAAAGCTTTGAGCAAACAAATCAACTTATTGTCGTTGTATCTGTTTCAGAAATTCTGAATTAATAATGTCACAAGAAAAGTGACATTACCATAAAGAAGAACAAAGATATCTGGACCAATAATTTGGTGGGATTCAAGAAGTCACAGGAGAAGAGGAATTGTGCCTTTAGAAGAATCTTCACTAGAAGAAAAATGGAGAATATTTCTCCAAACCCAAATCACTGGACGGTACCAGTTTCTTGGAGTAGAAATCAAAGGAAGAAAGGAGCGAATAGCGAAAATTTCCAAAGAAGTTACAAAATTATGGTGGAATAAATTGAATTTTCCACATGTGTCCGATCAAGTAATACGAGCAAAGCTTGACAAGGTGATGAAGACTTATGATGAATGTGTCAAGAGGGGAAAATATGATGCCCTGAATGAACTTTCTGATATCACAAAAATTAATGGCTAATGGTTATCCTCTGAAGACAAACAGCTGTACCAGCTTCAAGTGGAAAGCAAAGGAGAAGTGGGGTACTCTACAGGTCAAGTTGCAAGTGAAAACGCTATTCATCCCTCCAAAAGACGGAAACTGCCTGATGAATCTAGTGACAGTGGTACTGAATCTAAAGGGAGCGAGTATGAAGATGAAAGGACTACTCCACCAACCAAAAAACACAACAAAAAAGTTGCAACCAATTAGGTGACATCCACAAAAGTATCAACAAGTGAAGCTACCAAGATATGCAAAGAGTTGCCATTTGATGGCAATGACATTCCTACATCAAGTCAAGTAGCAATTTACAAGTCAACATACAAAGAGGCTGTTAAATTGAAGGAGAAAATTATTGAAAAGTTACAAATGGAAGAATGGTCTTTACATTTCAATGGGGAGCACACTGAGGAAAATGGGTATCAGGTATTAGTACTTAAAAATGAAAGAACCGAAGTAAAACTGGATGCACTGCATTTGAAAAATGGCAAGGTTGAAACTATTGCTGAAGGAATGGCAAAAGTTATTGATGAATACAACTTATGGAATGCAATAAAGATGATCAATGCTGATACAACAAACGTTAACACGGAAAAAGAGTGGAGCTGCTGTCAAACCGCAACGAATGTTCTCAGAAAAGGGGATTAGCAAACCACAGTTTATCAGTTGTCAGCATTACGTTCTGGACAGGATTCTCTGTTTGGTAATGGATGAAAATCTTGGTGCTAAAACCAGTTCTCCAAACATCAAGTATCCATTTGTATCCCAACTGGTGAAGAATTATAAGGGACTAAAGGCACAGTTTGTTAATGGAACAGAAGGATCCTCCATAAATCAGGATGGAGAGATATGAAGTTTTTGTACCCTCTAACATGAGTGTTTAGATTCTTTGAAGAAAAAGATGGAATTCAGGAGCTATTCTAGCTATTCTGGCATTCATTCTTATACAAACAAGACAGAAGACTTTGGAGAAGATATGCAGATTCATTTCATACACCTGGGCAGATCATTGGTTTACTAATCAAATGTATGATGAAAATGACTTCAAGAATTTGTCAGAAATATTGAAACGTTACAAAAAAGCAGAAGCTGTCCACACTCAATATACCAAGAAGTAATCAGTGTGCTGAACATGTAATCAGAGTTATGCAGAATTGTATGCTGCCTCCTGAAACAAAAATAAACTGCAACTTCAGTTTATTCTAGGCAATGAGTAGTAATATATATACAAACATGATAACAATGATGCTGTAAGCTGTTTTATTGTTATTAATATTACATGCAATATACATTCAAGTTACTTGTTTTCATTACTCGTTTTTTTCATTTAGGGGTGACATTTTCTAAAAAGATATTGAAATGAAAGGTCATTTCTTGGCTTTTAGGCAAAAGTTCACGTGATTAAGGTACAGGAATATTATGTTGTAAAAAACTCTAGTACACACACACACACACACACACACACACACACACACACACACACACACACACACACACACCTACACACAAACTATCGACAAATGCCTTTTACAATCAGTAACAACAGGCTAAGTAATGAGTAATGACACCGCAGAAAAATTAAGTTACATACTTAACCTTCCTATGTTATTTAATGCTTGCTGTGAAATTAGCATTTCAATTATATATTGGACATTTTTTATTATTTTTTTTTATTAACACACTGGCCGATTCCCACCAAGGCAGGGTGGCCCGAAAAAGAAAAACTTTCACCATCATTCACTCCATCACTGTCTTGCCAGAAGGGTGCTTTACAATACAGTTTTTAAACTGCAACAACAACAACAAAAAAAAAAGAATATAGGAAAAGTATTGGTATCAGCTCAGATACTGTTATATCTGCATGCCTCTGGCAAGACAGTGACCATGTGAATGATGGTGAAAGTGTTTCTTTTTCAGGTCACCCTGCCTTGGTGGGAGTCGTCCAACGTGTTAAAAAAAAAAAAATATGCCAAGAATTTGTAGCCTGGAGATAAGGAGGTGGTGCGGAGTTACTAAAACTATTATCCAGAGGGCTGAGGAGGGGTTGTTGAGGTGGGTTGGATATTTAGAGATAAAGCAAAATAGGATGATATGGAGGATACATAAATCTTCAGTGGAGGGAAGGTGGGGTAAGGGTCGCCCTAAGAAAGATTGGAGGGAGTGGGTAAGTAAAGATATTGTGTGTGAGGGGCTTGGACATCCTGGAGAGGTGCATGTGAATGTTAGATAAGAGTGAAGGCAAATGGTTTTTGGGACTTGAGCTACTGGAGTGTGAAGGAATTCTTGAATGCAGTGCAATAAGAAATGGAACTGGAGGGAAAGTCGGTGATGATGATGGAGTACATAGCTAGGAAGTGCTAGGAGGCCAGACGAAAACTTCATACCTACACGAAGAATGTAAAATAGAAAACACAGAGAGAGCCCTTGGTTCAGCCAAAGATGTAGAGGGGGAAAAATGCATAAGAGCATGGAAAAACCATAGGAAGTGAATGACAGACAAGAACAGAGAAGTGAGCAGATTAGCCAGAAATGAATATGCAATAAGAGAGGCTGAGTAACAATTTGAGAATGATATAACAAAGATTAAGTCTGAGCCAAAACTGCTTCACAGCCATATCAGAAGAAAAAAAATAGAGAGACCAGGTAATGTGACTGGAGAGCAGCTCACGGAAAATGACAAGGAAATCTGTGAAGTGCTACACAGATGACTTAACCCCTTAACTGTCCAAACATAGATCTACGTTCTCTTGCCCAGCACTCTGAATAATATGAAAAAAAAAAAAATAGTCAGTAGTTATGGAGATATAAGGCCACAATGTCAGCGCTTGTCACTCACCTGACAACCACACGAAGGGCTGCTGCTTGCAGAAGTGCTGCCGATATACTTTTTTTTTTTTTTTTTTTTTTAATTTGTATAATTTTTGTTCTGATAATCACAATTTTTAGCAGTTCTTGTGATTTCATAGCTAATTTTTGTTCTGACACTAATATTAGGTACTGAAATAGTACTAAAATAGTCACAGGTGAACATTTTCACCTGCCTTAGTCATATACTATTATCTAGAAATACATAACAGTATTTATAGGTCCCAGCAATGTTTTGGATACATGGGAGTATATAATAATAATAATTTTCCTTGAAGCATGGTGTAAGACGAATGTCATTCCACTGCTGACAGTGCAGCAGTGGTGACATTTGATGAGCGTGCACTGCCATGACTTTATTTGTTTTCACTGTTACACATAAACACTGTCTGTGTCTAGCTTTGTCTGTCTGTCTAGCTCTCTGTTTGTCTCTGCTTATCTGTCTGCTTGTCTGTCTTGGAGAGCTACTCGTGAACCAACAGGTATTACGACCAGTCATCACATCTGCTTCCTGAACAAATGAAATTACGTATTACTTGCCAGTCATGCTTACTATGCATTATATCTACAAGCACAGTATAGCACTGTCTGGATTTTTTGGGTTATCCTAGGTAATTTACACTATAATTATATTTATGTGTACCTGTGAGACAGAGACAGACGGAGATAGAGACAGCCAAAGTCAATCAGCCAGCCGCCAGCCAAACATGTATTACGTGTTCCAGAATTGTTTCTCTTTACTTAGGGCATAGGTTATAAGACATTCTGGCAGGATGACACTACCACTGGTACCAAAATTGAAAGGCTGTTGCACAAATGATGCACATGGGTTATTATCAAGGTTTTTTATTTTTCCTCAATCACTTGTGGCCACATCCACCTCAAAGCCACTAAACTCGATGTCAACATCACTTTCCTCTTAAAACGGGAGTGTTAATACTACATGACATCAGTGAATCCCAAGTGTTTGCCGTGCTGTTTGCTCTAGCTGGCGCTCAATTGAACTGGTGCTCCCACAAGGTACTAAGTGATCCCATATTTTTTTAATACTGCACGCACCAGTGCTAAGACTCATTCTATGCTGACCAAGCATGTCAGGCTAATTGTGCCAAATTTGGAGGCAGGAAAAATAAAACGTAGATCTACATCTGGAGCGCTAGCGGTAAGAATGT